CAAAGTTGCACTTAGAGTAATTATTGAGACGAGTGAGCTAGTTAAAGTTTTAGCTTTAGCGATTCATACTATATGTAGAGCTTACAATTGTTTAATAAAGTACACATAACTAGTCTGACAGAGGGTTTAAAAAAAAAATTAAATATTATAAAAAGTTAATATATTATTTTTTAAACCAAAAAATAAAAAATATATAATTATTTAAAAAATTAATTATAAATAATTTTATTAATTTTATATTTAAAAATAATTTTTCATAATTTCATATATATTTTTTTTACTATAACTAATTTTAAATTTAAATTTTTTTATAAATATAATTTTTTTTTAAAAAAAAATAATAATGTAATATATTTATAAGTTCCAAGTAATTTTTTTTTATAAATATTCAAAAACATATATTTAAAATTTTATTTAATTTTATTTATTATTTATAAAGTTATAAACAATTTTTATATTCTAGTTTTCAACTTTCTATATTGTATATCAGTAAAATTTCTTTAATTAGACATGGATACTAGAAGATATTATATTGAAATAATATGATCCAGTTTTTACTAGGTCATATAAGAACCTAGAATCTATCATAAGTCATTTTTCTATCACAGGTAAATAAAAATCACTGTTCAAAGAATGTTAGGATCAAGTATATCCTGGAAATAAAGGCTTCTATTAGGCAATAAGTCTTCTTAGATGATATACAAGAAGGAAATCAAGTTTCTCAGATAGTTAAGAAAAAAAAAGATATCCCAATCAGACATTTCTTATTGAGAAGAAATCTTAAGAAGCAGATCTTTGGAAAAAGCTGAAAATATTTTTTCAAATTTTTACTTTTTCATTTTCTTGTTATCTATTTGAACTTTTTTAAATATTACCCTTTTCTTTTTTTCAATTTATCCTTTTGTAGTTTCCTGTATTCCAGCAGCTTGATAAGACATACAACAATAACAACCTACTAACAATGATGCAGTGGACTAAGAAGGTTTTTACACAAAGATATTGCAGAGCAAAATATTGTTTTCAAGGTTGAACTTAAAGTCTTTTATGCTTATGATGAGTTAGTTAGATTAAAATAATAGTTTAGCTATAGTATGTATCATGCTGCTTGAATAAAAATATACTTATATTTTTAATTGATTAATAAATTGACAATCTAGTCTGGCAACGGGTACTCAAAAAAAAAAAAAAATACAAGATTTTTATAAGTTACTATAATATTATGAATTCTCAAGTTTGATTATAATTAATAAAAGTTCAAAAAAAAAAAAAATAATTACTAATAGTTTAACTTTGATTGAATACAATTATAATTATAAACTTTTTTTATACTTTTACTTATCTACCATATTTGAATATAATAAATTGAACTCATTTAATCATATAATTTGATTTTTTTTTTCTTTAACTATATTTAGTTCAATATTATTTTAATGATAAAATACGTTTTTTATTATTTAAAAACGGTTTTTTTCATGCAACATAACCTCTTAAATCAAGTTTATAAAAATGTGTATAAATAGCATTGGAGTGATAAATAATATTAAATTTTTTGTTAAACTTGTTTGTGATCTTTTCTAGTGATGAAAATCTACTCTTTAAAACTATTTGTAATAAACATTACGATTAGAAAGAGCTTTTGGTCATCTAGGTCATTTTTTCGGATGTGAAGTGCCAATTTTTTATAACGGTTTATGGTGTAATATATTTTCAAACTATTTGTATCTGAGATAAGCAACAAATATTTTATTCCTTTTTCAGTTGTTAATTCATTTCCACAATTTTTTTAAAAAATTTCCGGATTTCTGGATGCGTACACTAAATTGTTTGCAAATCATTAGAATGTAATTGTTTTATTCAAAAACTATTATTTTAGAATAAGTATTTTTTAAAGAAAAAAAACAATAAAATTTCCATCTATAATAAAGTAACAAAAACTTGTTATAAAAATTACTTTCCTTTCATTTAACCAAATAATATTTGGACAATCAAAAATTTTCCAGTGATTTCTAATAATGAATAAATAAATAATATAAAGGTTCTACAAAAGTTTCTTGACAATCAAGGCAATCATTATAGCTACCAAGGTCGCAATTAATGCGTCGATTATAAATGTGGATCTTGGCAAACGTGATGGTCGTTGTGAAGGTACTGGTATAATGTCTCTTGGTAATTGATGTTGTTCAGAAACAATATTTGTCGATTTGTTATTTAATTCGGAATTAGGATATTCAAGCATAGTTTCTTTACTATCTGAATCTAAAACGTTATGTTTCACAAGTGAGGTTATTAAAAAAAAACACTACATTTCAATAAAGAGAGGAATAATATAAAATACCTTTAGGAGTGTTACTAGAATTGGCAGTATTTGTGTTCCGTTCCTCGTCATATAAAAAAGAAAACTGGGGCATGTAATCATCGGCTTTGGACTTATTATATGTCAAAGATTGGTCGGCATCACTATTACTGTCTGGTAACTTATCAATATTAGATATGCCGCATGTAGGGCACTTCCAACCACGCGACCTGATAATTTAATGTTTTAGTAATAATGCATTAAACATTATAATAACAATATAACTCACCTTTGAGCCAGTATTCTTCTTTCATTTTCTGTATAATCAATTCCACCAATCGCGCCATTCGCTATAAATCGTTATATGTATCATTTAATTATTCGACAAAAATTTTTTTTAGAATAATTAAATCACAAACCTTTAGTTGTTAAAAATCCAATTAAACCCAATAAAACAGTGCGAACTATAACATAATAGATTCAGTAAATCCAATTTTAATTTTATAATATCTATTTTAGAATTATTACATACTTCCCCAAGCTGGCAGCCAGTATTCTGGGTGAAATCCTGTGATGCTTAAGCATATTTTTTTGTTAAGCTCAAACCTGCCATTTGGCTATATGCATCAAACAAATCAGACAAAATTAGGGAGTTGGAAAGAATCAAATATAATAAAGTATATATGTTTTCTAAACTTACGGTCATAAGCATCAAGTTGGGTGGCTTAAAAGGGTATTCTGTTGGTAAAAGTATACGCCCATGATATCTATATAAACAAAATATTAATATAAGATAGCAGGAAATTTATACCACCCCAAGGCAATTGAAATATACCTTCCCCCTTCAAATTCAGTGCCGTCAGGACCACGAATCACGAAATGCCATTCAAATAGATTATCCTGCAAAGGTAATTATGAAAAATTTCTAGTACAAATATGAATTTATTCTAAACTAAACTTACCTCAAGAGGCTGTGCTGTATAATCACAACATTGATCCTGCTGTAATTCTCTAGCTTCTTGCAAAAGGCGTTTTACAGCTATGAAGGTTCAATAATTAGTATAATTAATATAAAAAGGAAACCTTGAAAGTTTAGCACTAACCAGGATTTCTCAAATTATAAGAGGTAATAGTAGCCATTATTGATTTTTCTCTGAAATTGACAATTCGAATCGCGAACTTCACTACACCGAGTTATAAGCAGACACGTTTTTAAAGGATAAAAAATAGTGATGCTGATCAGTCGGTCCAGTCCAGAATTATTTTAAGATTGCCTTAGCTTAGGATCATCCCAATTTTTATAATTCTGGTCGGAATTATACATAATGCTAGCCGATTTGTTATAATTATAGGGTTTATTAACATCTCTAATAAAAATACAAAAAAAAACTTTTTTCCACTTGTATCAAAATTCATAAAAATTTTCTTATTAGAAAATTTTCAAAGAGAAAAAAAATTTTGTTTTCATTCTTTCTTTATATTCAAATTATAATAATAGTGAATATCTTAACTTTTTTTTTTAAACTCTCTATTAAACTAGTTATATATGCTTTATTAAATAATTGTAAATTGTATATATAATATAAATCACTAAAGCTAAAAATTCTAACTAGCTCACTTGTTTTTGTAATTACTAAGTGCAACTTTGGGAGTGATTTGTTGCTCCATTAAGAATTCAGATAAAAACCCTTTCAATAAATTTATATAAAATAAATTTGTATATACTCATCATAAAAACATCTAATAAACAAGGTATAAACACCCGGGAAAAAAAAAAAGTTTTTAATCTGATAGTTTGACCTATAGATAGTATTATGTTTTTCTATCACTTTGCTAAAATTTTATAACTTTCCTATTTCTTTTGAGACTTTGTCTTTTTGAAAATTCTCTTTAGTTGCAAAGCTTTTCAATATTTAATAAATTTAAGATTATATTTATCATCTTTTTCTTTATATGATATAACTTTTGATATTTTGAGTTTATTAAAAACTGCCTTGTATACTTGATTCTTGAAAACTCTCCAGATATTGTTTGCATATTTTTCTTTTTCATCTTCTTTTTCATCTTTCACAAGAAAAGAATATAGTCTTGTTTTTAGCTTATAATTTGGGATTTTACAATAAGTTTGACATTGTTTTGATAAGGATCCTTTTATATCAATTATTCTCCTATTTTATTCTTTCAGGTTAATAGTTAGGCTTTTTATAAAAAGGTTTTTATCCTGTAAGATAATTGTAACATAGTATGATTATTACCTGTGATTTCTTATTCCTCTTAATTATTGAATTGAAGTAACAAATATCTTATTAGATCTTATAATATTCAGATATAGTCAATTCTACTACTACTTTTTACATTCTATCATATTGGAGTTTTAGTCTTGCCTTCCTATATTGCTTGAATATCTAGAAAGTTCCAATTATCCAAAAAGTTAAACAATAGAATTTCAAGACATAAAGAAGGTCTAAATTTAGTCTTGGAGATAATATTCTATCTTCAGATTAATTATAGGTAACATTGAAATCTTCTATTACTATAATATGGAAGTTTTATTTATACTTCTTTTTGATATAACTAGTTAATCTTTCTTATACCTTTTTATATCATTGTTTGTCTAATAGAATATAGATCTAACTCTTTCCGCTGATCCTCTGACCATACACAAAAAAGATGTTCACAAGAAGTTTTCATACTTATATATTAATAAAGTCTTAAAACTCTCTTTAAACCAACTTAAAAATACTTCAAGAGTCATCACTACTTTCCTTCCTTCTTGTTAATACTTCTCTTTGAACAAAAACTCAACAGCTAGTGACTTGAAAGTCAAGCAATACCTTTCCTATCAAGGGCAAGAAAGTTCTGAAATGAAGAAGAACTGATATGCCATCATCTTGCACTGTAGAGAAACACCACAGAAGTCTGTGGATGATAAGAGACAACTTTCTCACTCTTTTGTCATCATGTTTACTTCTCATAGTGCTTGTTCTTGATTTCTTCTGAGGGATTTTGCCTACCTCAGTTTGACCCTGAATTTTGAATAGTACAAAGTTTCTCACACCATAATTGAACAGATAGAGCTCACATCAGTAAAAGAAGTAAACAAGCTCCCATTGGTCACCTCACATGTCTGAATGCATTACCTCAGTACCCATAAGAACCTGGAATTCACCATAAGTTGCATGCCAGTTGCATGGGTGGGTATAAGATATGAAAACCATGACATCATTGGCTACACAGAAAGAACAAGGCTAGATTAGGTTATTTTGGATAAACAACAACCCGACTTCCTCATTTCTTCTCCAGCAAACACAACCACCACACTCAGGGCTAGTATCTTTTTGGAGGGTTTTGATACTCCTATTCGTTTATTGGAACTACTTATAATGATCAGTTAGACAACATTACGTTCTTCTGGACAAGACCCGACTTGAACACAACCCTTTTTCTTTTTAAAAATTTTTGGTTAAGCGTTAGTGGAGTTAAGGCTCCATATGCGTAGTCCTCAACATCGGTGGTGCTGGATACCTCAGGTGAATCCTTGGCACATTAGCCCCCTCTTTTTAGACTAGCAATAAGCCACTCGGTGGGCTGGCCAATAGTCGTGCTCTAGGGAGTATCAAGGTATAGAATAGAAAATTAACATAGTGTGACTTTCATATTCCCTGTTTTTTTTGTTAATAAATAGTTAACGAATAGCTGATAAATGGTTAATGAATGGTTAACGAATGGTTAACAAATAGTTAATGAATTTTTGATAAATAGTTGCAAATATAGTTGAGGAATAGTTGACAAATAGTGGGCAAATAGTTGACAAATTTTTGACAAATTTTTAATGAATAGTTTTGATAAATAGTTGACAAATTGTTAATATATCAATTTTTGTAGTTGTCAATTTATTTACAGTATGTCATTTTTTTACCAAATTGTTTATTTTTTGCCAAATGTTACATTAGTAGTAGTATTTTTGCTAAATGTTATATGAGTGGCAGTATGCCAAATAATTTTTTTTTAACTTGTGCAATCAAAACTCAAGTCTGAAAATGTCAGCAGCATTATGCGAGCCAGCTGGATAATCTGGAAAATCCTCATTGTTCATTAATATCAATAGCCAATAGCAGGATATATCTACTGTGAAGCTAGATACTGTTTTTTCTATAAGTAATTAAATCTGAAATAAGATACACAGATAAGTAAGTATATCATATTTAGATAGGAATGTGTTTAATTTATAATATACTGAAAGACTATCAAGTCACTCATACAAATATTAATATATTACCTGGGTCTTTCTGATCACTGCCTCTTTACTAGCCTTAAACTATAAAGTCTTTTTTTTTGATCTTCAACTTATCTCCATAAAGACTCAATGGTAGTTCCATTTTCAGACCATCCTATAGGAAAATTAGTACAAGATAGGCAGGTGCAAAGAAACAAGACCAATACTTCACCAAAATTATACATAATTTTTCAATTTTTATTTTTATTTTTCTTTAATTTTATTTTTTACACCAGCATGCTCTAGAGATATTGGGTTTTCTTTGATAAAAGAAAGGATAATAAGCCTTTAAATAGCTTTAAAAATAGTTTTAGTTTATTATTATCTTTATAGTCACTGAATATATATCCATATAACTTTGTCTCGTGCAATATATATGAGCCCATCAAAAAAAAAAATAATAATAACTTTAAAAATCATTTTTATAATTTTTCTTTCATTTACAAATTTTTTTACTTAAAAACTTAATTTCTGATATTCAAAAAAGTCAAATAATACCTTTGATATCAATGATAAAAAAGTTTCTAAAAAAAGAAGAACTAATTGTAAAATACATGAAAACCTTTTTAACCTTTGAGACAAGAGATTATAGAGATTTTATTGCAATAGAAAGGCTTATTTTCTTCCTTTTTGATTGTCTAAATCCTCTTAGAACTTCTATTTTCATGGTTTTCTAAGAAATTTTGTCTATTTTAGTTTGATCCTGAATTTTAGATAGTATAAATTCTTATCAAAGGTGATTGATTGACATAAACATATTAGTTTTTGGAATATAAACAAGCTCTTATTAGTTATACTCATATGTCTCGATGATATTATTAGTGATTAAAAAAAATATTCATGAAATATTCACTTTTCAGAAACTCAAGTTTCTTAAGGAAGATATCCATGATACCAAAAGATTAAGAGATAGATAATGTGAATTACAAATTCCTATCTCTTTTCTAAGCTTCTCAGGTAATAACAAAACTTTAATAAACAAAAGTTAAGGTCTAAATACTTTTCTTGAGATATCTAAATTTAGTATTTATATATAGTAAATAAAAGACCAATTAGATTGACTTATCCAATGCTATAAGTAATATCAAAGAAGATCTTTTTCATATCTTAAAAGAAGTAAAAGGACTATCTCAATTAGACAAATCTTTTTTGAGAGGAGAATTGCTTTTTTATAAAACTTTTTTATAAGACCTTTATCAGAAAAATTTTTTGGTGAATAATTCTGAAGATCTTCACCTGTTAAAAAATTTTCAGAAATTTTCGAAAAAAACTCTAAAAATCTTTTAAAATTTTCGAAAATTTGTAAAACAAAAAATAAGTTCATTAATTTTAATAATAAAAAACTTCAAATATTTTTTATTTTAAAATTTTCAAAAATATTCAAAGTAATAATATGTATATTAAAAAAAAAAAATTAATAAACTCTTTCCACTGATCCTCTAACCACATACAAAAAAGATGTTTGCAAGAAGTTTTTATACTTCTTTGCTAATAAAGTCTTAATACTTTCATTAAAACA